GCCTGCACTTTTCTGTTCTTGTGTAGTCTATATTGTGTTTAGCAACAAGATTACTGTGGCTTTGAGAAATAAGCTGTGCCCCCAGCTTTTAATCTTTCTGTCATCTGCAATAATTTCAATAAAATAGGACCTAATTGTTTCTTGGAAATTTGATAGATATCACTTGCAAACCTATTTGGGCCTAGAGTTCTTTTGGGAGAAGACATTTAAAAATGTGTTGAAAACATTTAAATGTTAAATGTTTTCAACATTTTAATTGTTTAAAAATACTTATTGTCCCATTCATATTTTCTATTTCTTCTTATGCTAATTTTGCTTTTTTATATTTAGCAATATAGCTGTTACAAAACTATGTTATTTTAATAATTCTTTACTCTATCTTTATTATTGGATCTGTACTTATTACTTCTATCTTGCTTTATATTTTACTTTTCTGCCTTCATTTTTAATTAGTAATCTATTCATCTTATTAACTTTGCAAAGAACCAATGTTTCTGCTCTGTAATCTTTCATAAACTCAATATACAAAACTTAAAAGCATTTCTCTACACCAATAAAACTAAACAATGTAATCGAAAGAGATAACACCCATGCACAGCAACCACAGCATAATGAGTTTAGGAAATAACTTGATCAAAATATACAACCCTCCTTTAGAGAAAAACATTTTTAAACTCCAACAAAAGACACAGAATTTGATCTGAATAGAGATATATTACATGTTCTTAGGGGGATTAATTTAATATGCCATTTCTTCTCATATTAACCTCTAAATTCAATTAAATCCCAATAAAAATCATTGTTATACTTTTTGAGAAACTCAGTAGACATATTTTAAAATTTACCTGAGAGAATCAAGATCCATGAATAGCTATGTCAACTCTGAGAAAGAACAGAAAGGGACCTAGCCCTATCAGATACTAAGAAATACAAGCATGCACTCGCTGGGTAGCTCAGTTGTTTGGAGCATCATCCTGTGCATCGAAGGTTTGCGGGTTCTATTCCCAGCCACGGCCCATACCTGGGTTGCAGGTTCGCTCCCTGGTCAGGGTATGTATGGGGGTGGGGGGTAGTGAGCAACCAGTCAATGTTTCTCTCTCCATCTCTCTCTCCCTTCTTTGCTCTCTAAAATCAGTAAACATATCCTCAGGTGAGGTTTAAAAAAAGAAAGAAATACAGGCATACCTCAGAGATATTGTGGGTTTAGCTCCAGCCTACTGCAATAGAACAAGTATCGCAATAAAGCAAGTCATGATCTTTTTGCTGGGGGAGGGTTTGTCTTCAATTGGTAAAATAATGCAACATCTGTGAAGCGCAATAAAGTGAAGTGCAATAAAATGAGATCTGCCTGTACTAAAAAACGGTAAGGATAAAAAAATGCAACCTTGCTGCAAAGAACAGATAAAAAGATCGACAAACCATAACAGAATTCAAAGACATATATGTACTTTGAGAACATAACACACAAAAAAAGTGATGCTACAAATCAATGAGGAAATGTATATTTTCGTGGCTGATGTGGTAAAAATTGACTTCCCCTATGGGAAGAAAAAAGCACCTGGAATTCTAATACCAAATACAAAGACAGATTCTAGACCAGGGGGAAAGTTATGACCTGAATACCAGATATTAGTTTTCCTATATACAGTTTTATTTGAAAAAGCCATGCCTATACATTTCCCTATGTCTATGACAACTTTCATACTACAACAGCAAAACCGAATAGTTGTGACAGAGACCATCTGGCCTGTAAAATTTAAAATATTTACTATTTGGCCCTTTAAGTAAATATTTGCTGACCCATGTTCTCAATGAAGTAAAGACTTCAATATAAAAGGTAAAACTATAAAATTAACAGAAGAAAACATATCAGAAAATCTTTTGACCTTGGTGTGGGGCAAATTATTAAATAAAACTCTAAATTATAAACCGAAAGGCAAAAAATCTTCTAGCTAATTATGAAGAAATTAAGGATTTCTGCCCAATAAATAACATCATGGATAAAGGTAACTTGTAAAAGACTGAGAAGTTATTTGCAGACTCTAAAACCAGTGAGAAAACAATATCTCTAACATATAAAAACATCTGTAATATAATTAGAAGGAAACAGAACCCCAAAAGAAAAGCAGGCATAGAATTTAAAAAAGCAATTTGCAGAAAAGGAAATCTAAATATAGAATAAGTATAGAAAGAGATGTTCTAATTCCTTCATTAATCAGAGAAATGCACATTAAATCAACAATGAGATGTCACTTTATGCCTTGTTAAAATTAGACAGATACGCAGGGCGGGGCAAACGTAGGTTTACAGTTGTGATTATGTGAAACAGAGTTTGTTCCTGTATTATTACCTATTAATTAGTGTATTATTTTCCATATGAACAACTGTCAAACTACTTTTGCCCCATCTTGTAAAATGTCGTAATGGCATTACATAGAAACCCAGTTTCTCCCAATTGCGGTATTAACTATCTATACTAACGAAAATTTTTTAAAAAGTCACTCTATTCTGGAAATAAAATCTAAGGAATAGCAGAATATAGGGTCTGGCAGAAGCAACACCTGCTTGAGTGTGGTTGGTAGGGCAATAACGTGGGTGTAATAATTTATAGTTTTAATTTGAACATTTTACCTAAAATGTCATATGGTATGCTTGAGTGTGATATGGTTATGTTACAGAATTACATGCTTATGATTTTGTAATAAACGATTTTGTAATTTAAAAAAGGGCATTATTTTGCCAGACCCTGTACAATAGATATGTACCAATATTCTATCTTATTCGACATAGATATCCAAGAATCGTTTGCTGCACTGAAGGTGGAGCTATGAGTGCTCTGACACCCACAAATTACATTAAGAAAATTTAGTTAAATATTTATATTAGTTAGTTTTCTTAACGCAAATGTTTGCAGATCAGAAATTAGCCAGAATAAATTTAAATGTTTTATTACTAACCTGGGTTCGTACTCTTTACTTGAAATTAAGTCAGACTTATATTTTGAAGGATTTTAAAATAAAACATTGCAGTTTCTAAGATCATTGGCTTATTTTATTCTTGACTGAATTGGAAGTAGGTAATATATGTGAATATATCACTGAGATAAATGGAAGTAGGATGACATTTCTTCAAAGTTTTAAAAAAGTTGTGCCAGTACATACACATACACATACTACTTATGACCTCTGAACCAGCTGTTCCTCCCGCTTTCCTCCTCTGATCACTGTTCCATGATAACCACAGTGGCCCCGTCAAAACCAGTGGCATGTCTCTCTGAAGGCCACCAAATAATCACTAATTTGGATTTTTTCCACTTTGCCATAGTCCTAACATTAACTCCATTTCCAATCCGCTGCCACCACTCTAATTAAAATCCCAACCTCATGATTAAATTAGGGTTATTGCCTCTAAATTCCTCTTCTCCCCTTTTGCCTCCCCTCTTCCCTATCCTTTCTTTCTTCCTTGCCTCTGCTCTTCCTCCCTCACTACATCCATCCATCCAACCAGTATTTTTTGAGTATCTCTTATGTTCCAGATAGTGTTTTATTTTGGGGATACAGCAGTGATGAAAATAGATAAGGTCCCTGTTCTTTCAGTTTTCTCTTGGTTCCTCACATACATTCTATATTCAGCCATAAAACACATTTTCCCATTGAACTGCTTTGCCCCTTGCCAACTCTATTCAAAAATATCTCTTTTCCACACCCTGCAGCACTTTCCGGCTGGCTTTCTAAGATCCTCTAGATTTGGCCCCATTCTCTCTCTCCAGTTGAATCTCCTACTACTTCACTATGCATATCCTATGCTTCAGCTAAACCTGGGCACTATCTATGGCAAAATGGATGAGGAACCATATGATAAAGCTACAGGTTGAAGGCAGCAACAACAAAAACCTAACACCAGAACACACACATACACACCCCTGCGCCCCCTCCCCCAAATAGTAAGTGAAGAAAGGAAATAATAGGCTATTCACTACTTCCACAGCTATTTTATGATTGTCTTGGGAATAGGGCTTTCCTCTCAAGGCAAGATATACCAATCACTCTGGGAAAAGGTGATTGTGGGACACAAAAGGAGAGGCCTTAGAGCTATAGAAGAAAAGGACCTCCTCTTATCTCTGGGGCTAGGAACAAACTAGAAAGTAAGAAGTCCTCTTTGGAGAGTCTGGGAACAGATCCAGTGGTAGCAGTGTGTTGCCCCAGGCATTTGGAAGTAAGCCAGAAGCAAAGGGCAATATAAGCCTCTGTTATTCAGTGGCACTGACAGAATCAACAGCAGCAGGGCCAACTAGCCAGTTTCTGGCAGGACCACAGGAAGAAAGCAGCTGTGGCACCCTCGAGTCTCAAGAAGCACTGAAGTTCTGGCTCAACTAGCACATCAGAAACCAGAACTCTTTGAAATGTAAGGCTCAGCTGGAGCCTAAAGACAGTGTTAAGAGGAGAGGGCCAGAGGGAGTGAACCTGAGGCCTGGCATGAAACACACATGAGGCAGCACAGGGGAAAACTTGCAAATAGCCAGAGGACATCTAACGTGGCTAATTTCTAGTAGGCCAGGGGAGATTTGTGCCATAATTGGTATATAAGAAGGAAGTGCAATTTTATTTTGCAGTTATAGGCAGATGACATCAATGACCTGAGGGCTGTATTTTCACTCTTTTTTTGAGGTCAGTTATCACCATTGTATGTGTATGCCTACCTTTCTCTTTTAGGATGGTAGTGAGCGCCTTCAAAGCAGAAACCACATCCATTATGAGATAAATTTTCCCATGAATTGCTTTGCCCCCTGTCGATTTTTACAAGTTTTTTTGCGTTTCCCACAAAACATGATGAGTCTTCACATAGTAGAAGCACAAAAACTATTTCAATGAGTAAATAAGCTGATCTTGACCTTCTAGGTGAAGTGTGATTAGTGCTAAAAAGATTACAATAAGAATGACGTTACCAAAACCATAAGTGCATATAAAATACTGTCCTTAAACAAAACAAAATCAACTTACTAGTAATCATTGCTCCAGTTACAGAAGCCAGAAATCCGATGCTGACTGCAATGACAGAGATTACTCTCCCCTGCCTATGCCTCTGCAGCATCACAAACATCAACACTCCTGCAGCACCATGGACAAACAGAGAGGAGAAGAGAGCCCAGAGAAAGATCCAATACCACATCTCTGAAAAGAAAAGCAAAATGTTAATAATTCTATTGAAAAACATCTTAGAAAATTCAACTTAACAAATTGTGAGCACCCATGGTTTGGAGGTTGGATGAGATAACAGATATAAAAATGCCTAGCACAGTGCCTGACACACAGTAGTACTAAATAAGTTTTAATGATTATCATCATTGCTAATGTTTAATGGGAAAATAATTTCCTCCACAACTTCAGACATTAAGGCTACAATTAATTTCCTCTAAATGTTTCCATCATGTAGTCATAATGCATCAATTTGTCTAAGATACCAATAATACATTTTCAAATCTCCTGGAGTAAATAACATGTTAATTTATTGCTGTTTGATATGTAATTTTCTATTTTCTAAATTAAATAACTGTGTTAAGACATTTAAAAATCTATCCCTTAATTCATATCACTCGAGAAATTAATCAATGAATTTATCTCATACTTTTAAGAATTTCAGGCAATTTCCCTCTTGGCTTTCAACTTTACATACACTACTAAACAGTCAGATTTTTTTTTTTTTTTTATTAAGAATTCTTTGCCTCGGGTCACTTTAATAGTCCTTACTCAAAACATTTCAAGCTCCACTATTCTCCAATATATCCTCAATTACTATTTATTGAAGTTTAGTTTATAAGGAGCACATGTTTCATTTGGTCTCTCTTGCACTCATTCCGTTTCCTTCTGACTACTCGCAGCCTCCCGGTCAATCCATATAGCTCCACAGATGTTGCTGGGTCCTTGCTTTGGCTCCATTTTCCTGACCATATTTGTGGTCAGGTATATCAGGGCAGGCGACTGACCCCAGGCACGCCAGTCGTTCCCTTTCCTTGGGAATTCTTTATTGGGACCAACTGAGCACCTCAGTCTTTTGGAAGGCTGAAGCTGAAGGGTTCAGGATTAGTAAACAGCTATTTCATCATCATGTGGTGAAAGTCACGATACACAATGAAAGAGAAATAGATCTATCAAAGATAAGAGACAACCAAGTCACACTTTAGTGATTTCTAAGGCCCTGCCACATTTCCATCCTTAGATTGAGTCCCAATTTCCTTGTAATAAAATCCCTCTTTCTATTCAAATTAGTTCAGGTAAGGTCACTGTTACCAATAATTAAAAGAGCTGACTCTAAAATGTTTAGATGTCACCTTGAGACTCCTCCTTGGTATACAAACATTCTATAATGCAAAATGTCACATCTGCTATTTGTGCTGGTATTTGCTCTAGCGAGTGTGAAAGAATTAATAAAAGCCAGAAAATGACACAAAAATGGATGAATTAAAACTTATGCATTCAAACATCATTAGCGTACAGTGATACACTGTTGATGAGAATATAAAATGGTACAGCCACTATTGAAAATCATGTGGTATTTCCTGAAAAAAATAAAAATAGAACTACCATATATCCAGCAATTCCACTTCCAGGTATACATACAAAAAAAATTGATAGCAGGATCATGAAGAAATAATTTGCACAGTCATGTTTATACCAGTATTATTCACAATAGCCAAGAGGTAGAAGTAAACCACATGTCCATAGATGATGAATCAATAAACTAAATGTGGTATAGACATACAACGGAATGTTATTTAGCTTTAAGAAGGAAGCAATCCTGTCACATGCTACAACATTATGAACCTTAAAGACTTCATGCTAAATGAAATAAGCCAGACACAAGGACAAATAATGTTTGATTCCACTTATATGAAATATTTAAAGTAGTCAAATTCACAGAAACAGAAAATAGAATGGCAGTTGCCATGGGACTGGGTAAGATGGAAAGGGGGAGTAGCCATTTTAGTTTTGCATGATGAAAAAGATGTGGAGACCTACTATACAACAATATGAATATATGTAACACTACTGAACTGCACTCTTAAAAATGGATGAGATGATAAATTTTACACTATTTTTACCACACTTAAAAAATTAAGTACAATTTTAAAAATATGTCTAGAAATTTTTTTTAATTGTTTTAAGTCAAGACTATAAATGACTAAGCATTTAAAAACAAAACAAACAAAAATCTCTCTTGAGAAAGGAAGGAGGTATGGTTATAAAAAGGTTAACACTAGGGATTTCTGTGGCAATGTAACTTTGTATTTTGACTGTGATGGTGGATACACACAAAGGTGATAAAACTGTATCCAACTAAATACAAACACACAAATGAGTACAAGTATACAATACTGGTGAAATCTGAAAAAGTTTGGTGGATTGTATCAATGTTAATATCCTGGTTTTGACATACTGTGCTTTTCCAAGATATTCCCTCTGGGTAAAATGGGTCAAGAATACATGGGCTCTCTCTGTGTTATTTCTTATAATTTCACATAAATCTACAATTTAAAAAAGTTAATTTTTTTAAAGGAAGGGAGATACCAAATTCTTAAGAATTATTCCTTAGAATGGACTCTCATCCTTCAAAATCATTTCCTGGGAGACATCTGATACACTTTCCAACGTACAATAAAGTACTATGCATGCTTCTCAATGGCATAAGAGATAGATGCTGCTGACTAAGGAAAAATAGGCAAAGCTTGCCTTTTAAAAGGTTTTTCTCTTCCAGTTTTCAGGGAAATAGCACTTTCATGCTATTACTCCCAATCAAAAGGCTTCAACATAGAACAAATGCATTAAGACAAAAAGGCTTAACTTGCTCAGAAGATAAAATTTATATGTAAAAAAATATAATTTTCCAAAGTGAGCCTAATAAAGTAAGAATATAAGGGAGTAATGATTCACAATGTGGGGAGTGGGGTGCTCCAAGACAAGGAAAGGCTCTGCAACAGAAAACGTAATCCTAACAAGTCAACAATTTTCCTTGTGTCCTAAGACCATGACTAACAGCTTGTTGGATCTAACCCCCTGAAACACTCTTGTTTCTTGTCCCTGTAATACAAGTGGAATAAAAAATTTCTTGACTTATATTTCACACAAAGAAGGTGGGATTACTTGACACTATCAAGGAATTCTCTTTGCCTACTGACTATATAGCTATTGACCTCAACAATAAATTTACTTATTGTAATAATGAGGAAAAGTAAATTTTAAAATTAATGTTTTATAAAACCCCAAGACATCAAAGAATTATACAACTAAACTAGTACCTTAAATGGTCCTCTAATGACCAGTCCAGTATTAACTCTTAAGCTGAGTACAAAGTACCTAAACTCAAATTTGCTTTCATGTTTCTTTCTCTTTTTTAAAAAAAAAAAAAACATGCTATTTATCAAAAAAAAAATTAAACTCCACCAAAAATATCTACAATGAATTTAGGTTTCATGTTATTACTATTATTTAGAATTGTCTGATATTTTAACACAACCCTGTCAATAAACAGGGACTCTGATCATCTTGATCTACTCTGGATAAACAAGTTGTCTAAGGTTCTACTCACTATTGGCAAGCTCAGGAAACCTACTGGGTTAGTTCAGATGAAGGGAACTGCAGGATCCTAAGAGAAGAGCAAAACAGATGCCCCAAAACCCTAGAGAAAGAACAAGTACTAAGAGGACAGGAGCTGAATACAATCGTTTCTCGAACTGTCTAGATCCTATAGCTACCTTGAACACACAGAGGCCCACAGGTTTTTCTTTCCATCTATACTACACCTAATCCAAGCTTCTAGCAACTGAGCAACAATGAAAGGAAGAAGCCAGAGGGAGCCTTTGCTAGTGCCAAAATACAAAACAAAATTTTAAAAATACAATGCAAAGAACAAAAATTCTGAAGCATGCCATCCATATGATTGCTTTAATTACATGAAAGAAATATCCTTTCTTGCTGGGCACATCTTATGATACTCTTTGGTTATTTTTCTCTATTCAAGATTGTCCATAATCTTCATCTTAAACTAGTTTTGCCTGGATTTTTGCAGTGCATCTGTTTACTTTTTACAGGGATAAGAGGCAGGAGAGGTGATTTGTTCTAGCCTCCAAACAATACTAGAAATAGCCCTGCTCGCAATCTGCATCTGTCATCAGCCCTGCTTGCCAACTCACTCAGAAATTATATTCTGTGCTTTTGATTTTAATCCTTGGAAAAGTTATTTATGACAAATGAACTTCTCTAGGTGTCTAGAATACATTAACTAAGTAAAAACAAGTCAAAGAACGGTACATATAGTTTGAACTATTGTTTAAAAAACAATGTTTACATGTGTACATAAAATGTATAAACAAAAGATGTGACAATGGTTATCTTTTAAAGGAGAGGAATGACATTTTATATATTTTTTATTATTTGTTTATTTTTAACAACCTGCCTGAAATACTTTTTACTGCAAATATACTGTCTTTAAAAGTAGTTTTTTATTTTATAATTCATCAAACCCAAAGGGTTCTCAACCCAGAAAGCTCATGTAAATTACCCACAAAGCAACTAAAACTCTCTGAAGGTAGGACCTAAACTACCATATTTTTAATCAACTCTACCAAATAGTCATGACATGCAATAGAGATAGAAATCACTACTCTAAGGCTAAAGGTTCATAGAGGTATTTATTTTTTAAAAATCCAAAAGTTATAAAAACAAAGAAACAGAACTTCTGGTCAAGATAGGCAGACACGGCTCCCTTCTTCACAGAACCACATCAAAAGTATAACTAAAATATAGAACAAACATCACTGAGAACCATCAGAAGTTGAGTAGAAAGGGAGACCAATAACTACAGAATTAAAGAAACCACGTCCATCGAGACAGCTGGCAAACTGGTGCCATATCTGAGACTCCATCAACCTGGCTAACACTGTTTGACCCACCTTACAGATCCCCAGAAACTCCATCCCATTCCACCCCATGCCACCCAACTTACAGGCCCACCCAAGATGCTTTTCCATATGAATGGCTGGTCTTGGTTCATGCTTTACAACTTCCTAAATCCTATCAAACAAGCAACAGCTGGCCTCAGGGAGACCATGGCACTGCACTGATTCACAACTTGGCTTGCCTGGTTATCTACAGGCCCAGCACAAGTAGCATCCATC